GAAAATGGGTTACCATTCGTTAGTTATAAGGTGCCTGTAAATAGTATTGTAAACACCTTCGTCAATTGAATGCAATCGCATTTATTCAGTAAAGTTTTCGAGGAAGCAGTGCTATTCAATTTTTAATGACACGAAAAGAGTTGGAACTAAGTTGGCGCCAGTGCCAACAGCATTCGAATTTTTGTCATTGCACAGCCTAGCACCATTACATTCGATCGCGTTCAATTTTTAAACATACATGCTAACTTAGTAACAAATGAAACGCCTATCCGACGATACTGCCTTTTCGTAAAAACTTTAAACTTACTACATTAGCCGATACAGATGAGATAATGAGTAGTTTAAGTAGGTACTTTTGGAGCGCTCCGATAATAGCTACATGCACATTAATAAATAATATGCAAAAGCTGATGTATCATTAGGGGCGAATTTTAGTACTTAAAAAATTCTTTTGTTAATTATAATTAATTCGAAATGTTTTTTAAAGGTACATTATTCGTAATAATTATAATCTGCCCGTTTAAAGAACTTTTTGTAGACATATGACACAGTATTATTAGGTGAAACGAATGTATGTAAAAAATTAAAATGATGAAAACGTAAGAAGGAAACTGGATTGTACAATAATTAAAAGTAGACTATATATGATAAGAGGGTCAAAGGGGGGGAGAAAGAATGAGTGAAAGTTTTTGTATATATCATTTAGAAAAAAAAAGCTATACAATTTAAGAAAAGATAGAAAATGTAAAAGGTAATACTGTAATGAGAGTAGGATGATGGGGTGAAAAGGTTGTTGTTTAGTGGAAGATGAGAGATGGGAAAGGTAATTAAGGGATGCATACGTATACATGGAGAGATATGGGAAATCCTAGTAGAATGATATAAAAGAAATAGAAATTGAGAGTAGGAACACGTTTATAGGAAGACGTAAGATACTTATAGAAAACGCGATGTTAAATGGAAAGGAAAATACTGATATTTTTCAAGTTAATCAAATGATAAGGTCGGATCACCTACTATTAAAAATTGTGATGAAGTGGAAAGAGAGGAAGGGGGAAGTAAGGGGATATATAAGGAGGTGTTTGGATGGGATAGGGGGCAGTAAGAAACTTTAGGAAGACAGTAGAAGAATGGATTGGGGGAACTAAGGATTGGAAAAGTATGATTAATATAATAAGAGAATGTATGATTGTTAAGAGAATAAAGGTGGCTGCTAGGAGTGAAGAATGATGGAACTAGCAGTGTTGAAGGAAAAGAAAGGAATATAAAGACTGAATATATGAAGAGGTGATGAATGTGAGGAGGAAGAGTATTAAAAAGATATGAGTATAGATAGAGCAGGTTAAAGGAAGCAAGGATGGGTACAGTGATAAAATGAATTAGAGGTGGCGAGAGAAATGATGGGGTTGGAAAATTTTAAATAAGTAAAAGGAAAACAATGAAACAGAAGCGAGTGGTAATATTAGAGGGATAGACGGATGGATAAAAAGATGGAAGAGAGTGGAGGGAGTGTTATAGGATAATATGGGGTGTAGTAGAAAAAAAGTATGTAGATGAGATGGAGGGTGGGACGAAGAAGGGAAGAATAAGTAACAAAAGGAATGGTGGTGTTAAGAAAAGAAAAGACGGTTGGGCTAGAGGGAATTCCTGAGGACGCTTGGGTATAATATTGAAGATATGGATTTAGTATTGAAGAACGTATACGAAATTACGGAGGGAATATGGGAGAGAAAGGTTATATGTGAATCACGGAAGTGTGGGGTGGTAGCTGTGGTATTTAAGAAGGGGAAAAAGGATAGTATCGAAACATATAGGGGCTATAAAATATACATGGAAGAGAAAAATGCCAAAATAAATAGGAAAAATTGTGAGGGTGAGAAGGCTCCTTCAACATCACAGTAAATCTCACCTAGGATTTAAAAAAATTAAAAAATAAAAACACCTCACATAATTAATGAATGCCAATGATTAATGATTCTGACTGACTAAACTTGTCGTAAGACAAATAAGTGGTCAGTCGATTAGGGCATATTCGTAATCTCGGGCCACGAATAAATCGCGGTTGCTTGCTCAGTTCTGAATGAGTAATTTTGAAAAATTCACCGCAAGGTAGTGGGTATACGGCTACTTACCTTAACTGCATTGAAGTATAATTGTTCACTACACAATTACATTGATTACATAAATTTCTTTAGTCTTATGATAGATAGCAAAGGTATTTTATGATAAAATATTATGATAATGCAGACATTGATTAAATTCAC